CGCTCTCTCTCTCTCTCTCTCTCTCTCTCTCTCTCTCTCTCTCTCTCTCTGGAAAAGTATCTTCCATTTGTTTTTGTTTGGTTGGGTTTGTTTGTTTGGGGGACTTTTTGAGACAAGGTCTCCCTGTAGTCCCAGCTGACCTAGAACTCACTGTGTAGACCAGGCTAGTCTTGAACTCACAGAGATCCGCCTGCCTCTGCCTCCTGAGTGCTGGGATTAAAGGCATGCGCCACCACGCCCAGCTTTAATATTTTTATTTTAGGTGTGTTACCTGCATGTATGTAAGAGCATCCATGTTGTGCAATGCCCTTAGAGGCCAGAGAGGATGTTGGATTCCTCTGGAACTGGAGTTACAGATGGCTGTTAGCTGCCATGTGGGTGCTGGGATTTGAACTCAGGTCCTCTCTCAAGAGCAGCCAGTGCTCTTATCCACTGAGTCATCTTTCCAGCCCCCAAAGGTCGTTCTTATGGGTGGAGGGCATTGGGGTCTCTGTGTGACCAGAGTGTGGCTTGTGCCACATTGGCAGGGGCCTTGTTCCAATGCCAGCATCACAATGACTGAGTGTTCAGATCTCAGCCTGGCTGTGGCTGGGAAAGCCCAAGTGTGTTTATTCTTTAAAGTACAGAGGATACAATGTGGCTGCCCGTGTAAAGGAATGCCACCTAGCTGTGGCAGTGGGCAGGGAGCACTGTCAGTGTGGGGCTGGTCCTCAGAAAATCCTGCTGGGAAAGAGTGCAGGACAGCCTGAGCCCAGGAACAGGAGAGAGGCAGCAGAGACAGTTAGTGGCCAGGGGCAGGTGGGGCCACAGTCACTCCTCTGTGCATGCCACACATGCAGGGTTCACATTGCATAGGCCTATGTCTACACACTTGAGTGTACATGCACATACACATACACAGCCCTTCCTGACAGTAGTGTCTGCCCACCCCTTCTCCAAACCCATGGTGCATAGATGGAGCCTGAGAACCAGATCTCAACTGAGGCCTGTCCACGTACGTCCAGGAGGCAGAAGCCTGGCTACCGATGCTGCCCTGTTTCTGGTCACCAGGGTAGTTGGGGATGCCCCCTGGGAGGGTTGTGGGCCCTGCCAATACCTAGTAATCTGCTGTCATGTAAACCCACACCAGAGGTAGGCAGGCAGACCTGCCAAACATAGGCTCAGAAATAAAGCACTGCACAAGGACTGATGCTTTAAATATTAAAATATATTAACGCACATTCTCTTAACCCAGGATGGAGAAACACACTGTCTGTGCAGCCGTACGGTGGGGGCAGCCAGTCACGGGATCACGCCCTTGCCACAGCTTGCAGCATGTATCACATGATCGGGTACAAAACAGATTCCATAAACAGGTTTCAATGTAAAATGCATGTTCAAATGTAATGATTCAAGTTCTTCCTGCCCAGCAAAGGCTGCCAGGCTCCAAGGACCAGGTGGTGAGAACAGGATCCACAGGACCATGCTACCCAGGGCACTGCTGTCATGCACGGGACTTTTTAGGAGACACAGGAAGTCAGGGCCAGGTAACAGTTCACAGGATTCAGTGACCCCTTGGTGGCTCCGGGGCTGGGAGCAACATGTCTGGTCCAGAAGTGCTACTCTTCATTCTTCCTTAGTGTCTCTGAGGCGCTAACACCTGCGCCCCACTGATTGGTCACAGTATGGGGACAGTGCCACGGCCCCAGAATGCAGTACAAGGTTTTGCCAAGTCTTCAGTGCTGCTGTCCTGTGAGGGAGAGGTCAGGCCTTTCAGGAAGAGTAAGGGCAGGCATGGAGTGGCTCTTCTCAGGAAACACAGAGGGATCACTGTGTTCCTGAGCTGGTGTTGTCAAACACTGCTCTGGAGCTGTAGTTCTGTGGGGTTGTCGGAGCCTGAGGACTGGCTGGGTAGGGAGGCCTCCAGACCATCTGAGGACCCCAGTGGGGCCTTGTACAGGAAGCAGGCGGTGGTAAAGAAGAGTAAGCCCAGCACCTGGAGAGACAGGAGAAACTGTTGGTCCTCACTACCCTGGAGGCTCCTCACAGGGTGCCCCAAGCCAGACCATCTCTGGAGCAAAGACACACCCTTCCTGCATGATTAGTGACTTGTGGGGACACCAGTACTTTGAGAATGGAAACTACCATTTGGCTAAAATTAGGGGCCATAGAGCCTGGCATGGGCTATGCAGGGTCCCGCAAAAAGATATGTACCAGCTCTGGCTCCAGCAACTGGGAAAAGCAACCCGGCCTCTGTGGGGACGAGGAAGGAACTCAAGATGAGGTCACCTGGATTCAAGGTGGTCCTAACTCTGTGGATGTCCATATATGAACCAGAGGAGGAGGACAAGGTAGGAGGGACAGTGAGGAAGGCCAGTGGGCAGTAGCAGAGGTAAAGCTGTAGGCCAGACCCTGAAGAGACAGACACCCTCTACCTCCAGAAGGCCACCTCACCTTGAATACGAGCCCTGAGATGAGTAGGTAGCGGCTCATGGCTGCATTCTGATATACAAAGCAGGAGCCCTGGTTACCACACTGGTCCTGCCACAGCAGGCAGGTCTTGTCAATCACCCAGCCAAAGGCGATGGGCCCGGGGATACTGCCTGCCGAGAGGGGAGGTGAGAGGGGAGAGAGGAGAGAGGGAGAGAGAGGGAGAGGGAGAGAGAGAGGGAGAGGGAGAGGGAGGAGAGAGGGAGAGAGGGAGAGAGAGAGGGGGGGAGGGAGAGAGAGAGGGAGGGGGGAGAGGGAGAGAGAGGGAGAGACCTGTTTAGTACCATAATGAGGGATAAAAGGGTGGGCCACAGGGGAAGACCTCCATAAGACCACATCAGCCACCTGTGTTCTCAGGAACACAAAGGGCACTTAACTAGTCCTGTTCGGGGACTTGGCATTGGTCTAGGAGTGTCTCCTGATTTCCTAGAAGGGAACTTTTGCACTGAGAAACCTGGGGGCAAATAGGTGGCAATGGCTCCCTCTAGTGGACAGCTAGGGCACAAGGGTGGCCCAGGGCCCCACGTGGGCACATGGACACACGGCTTGCTAAGAGAACACCTCTGGGTTCCTTATGCAATGGACATCCTGTGTAACTGTACATGGCTTCCTTATACACAGAGTACCTAGTGTTCTCACAAAGATCCACTGGATCCCCAAGGCAAAGGACCTCTGCCGATCACAGACACACCTACAACAGAAATGAGTGCGTCAAAAAAGCCACAGAACGACAGCACACCCCCACGCTGGTCCCGGCCACATCCCGGGCCATATCACCACCTCCCCAGGTGGCAAGCACCTCGCTGGGACAGTCAACTCTGCTGCCACCAGCAGCAAGACCATTTCCCACACCCGCTGTGACCCGGGGCCCGCCAGCGTCTGCAGAGCGCCACCTGCTGCTGCTGCAAGAGAAGAAAGGGGCGGCGGAGCAGCTTACCGGAGAGTTGCGGTCAGCGCAGGAATGCTGCTGAGGAATGTAAAGATAATTACAACGAACACAAGAACCAGAAGGAGGGGCTTTCTCTGACAGGCGGAAGTGCACTTTCCTGCTGTAGCACTGCCCCAGCCAGAGGGAACCTTCATAAGGACACAGCTACAGTTTCGGTACACCTGGGGAGCCCAACAACAGTGCTGGTCACGAAGGCAGGCAGAGGCTTCCCAGGTCCCGGTTGGGGCAGGGCAGCGGGCAATGGCTGAACTCACCTTCTGACCACCTCGGCCCATGCTGTAGGTGGGGGGGCAGCCCGCGTGGCAGGGTGAGTAGTATGTAGTGCCGTCGGAGCCACACACAGGGCTGTAGTGCTCTGACTGGCAGCAGTTGGCATTGCAAGCGGCCTTCAGGTCTAGGTGGCCTTCAGGTAGGAGGCTGCAGATGGGGCATCAGGTGGGGTATTAGCAGGTGCACAGACACACCTCCCCACCCCCAGTGCCAGGTTCTCCCTAGGACCAATGGACCGACCGTGTGCAGGGTCTCTGTCAGGCTCACCTCTCCCCATAGCCAGTGGTCACACCTGCCATGGGCACATTGGGACAATGAATGAGGAAGACAAAGAAGGCGAGCAGGCTGGTCAGGGTGCAGAGCAGGCAAAACCTGATGATCCCAGAGCCTCGGAGCTTGAACCTGTTCACCAGGAAGCCGCCCAGGAGTGTGCCACCGCCGCCCGCTGGCACCACCAGGTACCCTATGGAAGGGGCTCAGTGAGAAAATCCAACTTCTGCCCTGTTATCGTTGCTTTACAGGTGGAGAAACTGAGGCACAGGGTGGGGAATCAATTCCTGCCTACAGTCTAAAGGTGCTCAGGGGTGGCTATGGGAGTGCAGTACAGACCACCTGGAGCCTAGAACTTGGTGACTGAGGCCCAATCTGGGGTAGATGAGAGGAGGTAACAGCACAGGAGAGGGAGGGGCTGAGGAAGGGAAAGAGCTGTCCTGCATAGGCCTCTGGGTCTGGTAAGGATATGTGTCTGGGGAGGGTGTGAGTGCCCAGTCTGAAACCCTCATCATCCAGACAACAAGGTAGGCTGCAGCTGATGGTTACCACCCACGCTGGTCAGTCAATACCTCAGGTTGAGCCCAGCATTGACTGTGGGACATATCCAACCGAGTGTATGACTGGTAAGGCTGTAGCCATGCCCTCAGCAAAGGGAAGCTGTGGGTGTTGGCACAGTGAGGGTTCCCATTCTTATAGGGCTAGCCTGTCACAGAGTCCTGCAAGGCAGGTGTAGAAGCCCAAACTTAGGTCCCAAGGCCCTGCGATACAAGTTGCATGGCTCATGGAGACAGAATCCTTTCTGTAATGAATAGTGTGCAAAGTGGCCTGGGTGGGGAATGGGTGGATGGCCCTGCTCTCCCTGGAGCTTTGTACACTGTGAGAGGCTGTGTTCAACATGTACAGGAGGCACAGCTCTCCGTCTCTCTCTCTCTGCAGAGCACCCCAAGGCTCAGAGTCTCCTTACCGAACAAGGTGGCGGCCTCGGAGGCACTCAGGCTGAACTGGGCCTCAAGGAACTTTGGGCCGAATGTGGACATGCCAGCGATGAGGGAGGCTTCAGTGGCCCCTGCCAGGCAGAGCAGGATGAATGTGGGGTTCCTCAGGAGCAGCCAGATGGAACTAGGCAGGGGAGACCAGAGACCAGAGAATAGACAGAGGGTCAGATCCTGTATACAAGGAACCTGCCATTCCTGAGGTTGTCTGAGAGGAGAGTGGAGTTGGGTGCAGTAAGGGGTGCTCCACCTCTACCCCAGAGACACTAAGAGGGAATGCAAGGCTGACTTCGCAGGCAGTGAACAAATGGTGTTACTGTAAGCCTTTTGCCTACCAGTCACTAACTGCTAAAACCAGTTACAGAGCCCAGTCACTGCTGTGCCTGATTTCCTGCTAGGTGTGGGCACATGGGGCCAGACCCAAATGACTTCACACAGTTTCATCATCCCTGGTGATCACTATGATAAACCAGCAGGGGGTCTGAACAAGGGCCAGGAAAGTGGTGGCCACCAAATTCAGGGCTGAACAGACCACTTTACATAACAGGACGGGGAACAGGACTACCAAGTGATGGGGCTACTAAGAGGCAGGAGTCATCAAAGAGGCAGGAGTCACCAAAGGGCTAGGGTCACCAAGGGACAGGGATCACCGATGGGTAGGGGTCACTAAGGACTGAGGTCTCTAAGGGACAAGTGTCACTAAAGAGGGAGGGTCACCAAAGGGCTGAGGTCACTAAGGGGTTGGGGTGTCCAAGGGACAGGGGTCACCAAAAGGAGGTGCTGACTCAACCACTAGCCTTAAGGGGGCAGGAAGCCTCTGGGTTTGGAACATGGGGCCTTTAAGGAACTCTGATGGGGCTTGGTCAACTACCCTTCCCTTTGCCTGCACTTGGGGGACAGTGGCTGTAGGGGTGATGGTACTGTCAATGACCAGCTACAGCCTGTTTAGCCCATGGTGACCTTAGCCTGGAGTCCTGAGGCCCCAGCACTGCCAACCCTGGGGCCCCTTACCTGGCCCCTTCCTGCCACCTGCCACCCACTCTAGGATGGGAAATGCACCAGTCATACCCACAGCCCCAATGGGAAGATGCTCGACTCGCCTTCCCTGGGCCTCACAGTTGAGTAACCAGGATGTGGCACAGACCCCAGGCAGGTCAGCACACCTGCTGAGCTCAGTGACTCTGAAGGCACCTGTTGGCCTGCTGGCTGGGGGGTCAGACTTCCACTTCCCTGGGCTGAGGACTATATGCTGACTGGAGCTAAACATCTGAGATGTAGAGAAAAAAGACCAGACAACATAAAATGCCACAGGCCCTGGTGAGCAGCGCTTGGGGCAGAAACCTCCAGGACAGCCATTATCTCGGGCCTGGGGAGGAGCACAACTGGCCACTGTGCAGCCTTCTCACTCACTGCAGATGACACGGGGCCAGGGCTTTCCTGAAGCCAGCTCCTGGTGCAGTGGCCTCAATGGCTTCCACACACTAAAGCAGACTCTGGAAGTGGGGGTGGAAGACTGGCTCCTAGGGACAGGGGTGTACTCCACTGCTTGCATGCTTGGTGCGGTGCCCATCCTGCACCTCCAGCTTAGTGAGACTCAGTGAGCTGGCGCTTGCTTCCTGCCTCCTGTGTGAGTGGCCACCATGCATCACCACGCCCATGAGAGCCAAGCTCCTTGACAATTCTAGATCTAGCGGATGAGTGCTTGCCAAGGCAGCTCTGGACAACTGCACACTAAAGCACTCTGCACAGGGAGGACACAGACCAAAAATAAACCATGCTCTGAAGAGGGGCCAGGAGCCAGCTCTGCAGCCTGGCAGTCAGTGAGCTCCACAAGGAGTGTACAGGAAAGGACCCACTGCTACCTAGACACTGAAAACCTAGAGTCACTGGGTGGTCAGACTGGCCCTGGTGAGGCACTCACAGGGTCCCTTCTAAGAGGGAGGGCTATGCAGTTCACTCAAAATTAACTTCCTAACTTCAAGGTGGAAAAGCCTTTCCAGTCATTGCTTGGCTCCACATCCTGACAAATGAAAGGAGGCACGGAGGAACCCTCCCTTGTGCACAGGTCTGCAGGCTCCTCCTAGTCCCTTCCCAGCCAGCTCTGTGGGCAGAGTTAGTGGCCATACCCCAGCTGGGTACTCCCTAGACCTGCTTAGCTTCGGGCTGCAGAACACAGATGCCCATGGTGTCTGACCCTATGGCAGGTTGCCTGGCTGAGGTTCTTGAGTTTGCCCTGAGAACTGTTCATGAGCTTCACAATCTTAGTGGAGGCACAAGTTCCTGTGTTTAAAACCGTACCAGCACTGGCTTCATGCACTAACCCTGGAAATAAACTTGGTACTGCATGACACACAGCAAGAAGCCCGGGGTCCCCAAGTCGTTGCTGGGCAAAGCTCACACTGTGAGTTGGCTTGGCACTAGGCAGCTCTGTTCCTGGGGTGAGGGAAGCATCCTAGCACCATGGCTAGTGGGCCCTGGCCAGCTTAGCCATGTCTGGGGCTCAGCCCTCCTAGGTGGGCAGTTCCTGGCTCTCCTGGATGGCCCAGTGGGAAGCAGGAAATGAGATGCAAAGCCTGTGACCTTTCACCCCACCTTCAGCAAGGCAGCTGTGTTCCTCTGCAGTAAACATCTCTGGGACTCTCTGGGGCTACCCTTGGCTCCTTTACCCTCTCTGAATTGAGGATAGGCTGTGGCACTGAGCCTCACCCAGATAACCCTCTACTCACATAGTCAATTAGATGCCACCATTCATAAGATCGGGGAAAGTAGAGGGGTGTCCCAATAGCTGCCTTGCCCAGGTCCATGGAGAGCCCCCCTAAAAACCTCAATTTCAAGTGGAAGGGACACTGTGTGTGAGCACTCCCTCTTCCCGAAGCCTCTATGTTGTTCCTCTAAAACCCCAGCAGCTCAGAGCCTATCCCCTGGGCATGGACACAACAGAGCCAGGCCAGAGAGGCAGTGAGTACAGGAAAGGCCCATCCCAGGGTGGGAAAGAGGGCAACCAGAGCACGGGGAGGCCTCTGCTCCCTGGTTCTGTCCCATGGGTGGAACAGAATTGCTCTGTCCTGGAGGTACCGACGGCAAACACACAGGTGATACCCAACAGACAAGTGGTCTGTACTGCCTGAGGGGCTCAAGTTCTGCTGGAGCATCCATGGGACCACAGGGACATGCAGGCCCACAAAGGGAAGGGTGCCAGGGGGAAGAGATTCACTCTGGCTGCAGCCTCACTAGGGGCCTGCACCTAGTGAGGAGACTCTGCTCCTCATTGGTTGAAATGACAGGGAGAAGGGGTACTACGCCCCCACACCCCACATACCACCCACATCACACATACACCACACACACTACCTACCACACCCACCCACACACCCCACATACCCACACATCACACATATACCACACACACCCACATACATCACACCCACACACCACATACATACATACCCCCCCACGCTCTTACAGGGGCAGGTCTTTGACAGTCTCCCCGAAGGCAGGACTGCTCGCTGCCCTGTGGCTGTGCTCTTTCGGCTGCTGCGTTTCAGCTGCTCTCATGACCACATAGCGTTGGGAACCTGGAGGGTCAAAATCAGCAGGTGGCCATGGCTTCCAAAGGGCACCCTCCACAGAGGCTGCCCCTTACATCCTCCACCCCTCAGGGCCTGGAAACACAGCCATCTGACACACACTCAGCTCTGCGGCCAGAGGGCAAACGATGTGAACTAGGAATGGTGAGGTCACCACATACAGGGTTGCAGGTGTGAAAGCAAAGGGCCACACCAGCCCAGTGGAAACAGGCGTGAAGGGGCCTGTCCTGGTGGGGACACGGGAGGGGAGAGCAGGCAGCAGAGGGCTCGCCTGGTCAGCCCTGCTCTCCACAGTAGGAAGATTGAGATCAAAGACTTGGGTTCTCCTTGGTTGAAATGATAGGGAAAAGGGGACAGAGCAGGAAATAGCAACTCTACCCCCTGGATAGGACCTCCATGCAGGGCAAGGGACTCACCCGGTAGCTGCCGGGGATAGCCAAGGATGGGGACAGCAATGAAGAATGCGGCAATGCCAGCACCCAGGAAGCCGATCCACCAGGCACCAACCCACAGTGGGCTGTCAGTGGTCAGCTCTGTCCTGTCAGGAGAGACAGTGGCACTTGGATCACTGACCAGCCTACCCGTGTCCTTCCCAGCACATGCACGGGGTGGCCTGGCCTGCTGATTCCTCCTCTGAGACCCCTGGGGCCTCTACACAGGTGGCAACAGAGGAACTGCAGCCATGTGTCCATCTTTCCCTTGGATTGGAGAAGCCCCCTGACGTGGACATCCCCAGGGACAGCAGCTCCTCACTCAGACCCCTACTGAAGGACCCAGAGGGGCTGTAACTGGGCCTCAAACTGAGACCTTAGGGGCAAGTCCCACTGGGGACAGGAGCTCCAAGTAATAGCAGGTGTCCCTCCCCACACCAGACAGTATCCTCAGGGCCACAGACCTCAGGGGATGGAGGGATCAGCTGGAATTTACTGAGCTCCCCACAGAGGGACCATTAGGTGCCCAACTGCCATCTGTATAGGAGAAGGAGAGTGAGAGGCTCTCAGATGAACAGGGAGAGTCATGGGAAGGGAGCAACTACTCAATGGGCTTTTATCCCAGGGAGAAGGAGGAGGGTGTGGAGGGGACAAAGGATGGAGGGATGAAGGACAAGAGACAGGAGGAGAGGGTTGGAGGTGGGATCCCAGCCAGCAAGGCCAAGAACAGCAGCCAAGTAGCAGAGGCACCACAAGCCTGCTGTGCTCTAACAGAGAAGCACTGCACTGCCTAGGGCCTGGATCATGCTCTGCTCCCCACCCCCATGTGCAGAGTGCCCCAGACCCCAGCGCCTGAGGGGCACAATGCGTCCAGATCTGGCAATGAGCCTTGACCTACCTCAGGCTCTGCATAGAACATGCACCCTTGACCCCATAGTATCAACCCAGAGCTAGAGGCGGCTTTGTGAGAGGGCAGAACATTAGAGACCTCGCCGGCGCCATCTGCAGAGAGAGTCCCAGGGTGGAGTGGCGCCCAAGACGTGACAGAGCCACAAGGAAAACTCAACAAGGGTTGGCCTCTGCAGGACGCCAGTCCGGGCCACCCACACAGCCTTGCTAAGCTGTAGTCAGAAGGGCCAACTCCCCCACCCCCGTCTGTGCCTCCCTCTCTCTCCTTGCTTCTCACTTTTGCTTATTTTTATAAAAACTAGTATCACATACCAAAGACACAACAGCCCTGTCAGCTCAAAAGAGCATTGGAAAGAGGTGTCCAGGGCTTCAGAAACATGAGCCTGGGCTTACCCCCACTTCCCCACAACTCCTGCCTTCTTCTGCTGGCTAGGCCCTTGAAGTCACCATAAACCCTGAATCCCTGTACACCCTGACTCCAAGACCAGCCCTGATTCTGCCTACTCTGACCTCATGCTGTATATCAAAATCATCCTTTGGGGACCACAGCACCCCAGCTGCCAAGGCAGGCAGGTGTGTTTGCCTGGTCACTCACCGTCGGCCCACTTCTGTGTAAATGTTCAGCATGGCTCCTCCAATTAGGTAGCCGGCTGCAGGCCCGAGGATGGCTGCCGTGTAAAAAATGGCTAGAAAGCAAAGAGTGTGCACTGGTCAAACCTCACCCAGGGGGCCCTTCTAGGGGCCACCACCACCCTGTTCCTGCTTCCCCATTGTGGACCCTTTTGGATTAATGTCCATTTATGTGGCCTATAGGGGGTCCCACATCCAGTCATACCAACTTTGAAGATGTCCCGAAAGTGGATTTCGGACATTGTACTCAAATGAGAGCAAAGACCGATCCCACAACCCTGTTTTGCAGGGTGAGGGCACATCCACACAGGAGGGCCATGGAAAAGCAGGCACAAGTGGGCAAAGCATGAGACCAAGGCCACTGACTAGAACAGGGACTGCAATGACTGTCGGGCTCCCTACTGTCCCCCGTGACCAGAGGCTGAGCTGACAGAGTATGAAATCAGAGGCCACCTGGGCAGACAGCGTAGTGTGCTCAGCAGCTCTGCACGATGTCAACCTGCAGGTCACAGTCCGTGGTGGAGAATGTGAACTGTTTTGCGGCTTTGCCACAAGGTCTCAGCTCTTCCGAGTCCCCACCATCTACTTCCTACATAGTATGGCCAGACACAGAGCACATGCAGGGTTCACAAGGAGGCCTGGCGTGGTCAGGGTTCTGTTCCTCCCCATTTACATTTGCCCAGGACTCCTCCTATGCTACACAGAGGCTTCATGCTAGCTAGTGGGGCCCTAACTCTGCCTGAGAACTTGGGGCCCCTGAGCCACGAGGTAGGACACCACCCCCCAATGTGGGAGCTATGCTGAGTTCTTGACCCTATGGTCTGAAACCCCTTGTGGGCTTCCTAGAAAAACTGGCACCCTCCTGCTCCTTGGGTAAAATCCCTGCTGGCTGAGCTGCCACTGCAAGTCAGGGGTCCCTAGGCCACATGACCAAAGGAGGGACGGACCTAAGGACACCGAGCCAGGCCCCAGCAGGAGTTAGCTCAGTGATGGTTAACCTTAGTGTTGCCCTCTCCCCTACCTGTCCTGGTTCCTTGGCCAGCCTCACTCACCAATATAGATGGGTGAGTAGTTAGACTTGACATTCTCATCCAAGTAAGTGACACCCAGCGTGTAGAGGGGGGTGGCGCCCATGCCATGCAGGAGCTGGCCGAGTATGAAGATCAACTGGTAGTTGGACAGGCCTGAGGTGCTGTCCACACACTCCACGCTGCTCCGGTTGGCCAGGCACATTCCTGCCCCCACCCCCTTATCCATCTCTACCTCATAGTAGCCAGCAGTGAAATGAGGCAGTGCAAACACGAGTGAGCCAATGCCCAGGACCAGCACTCCGCAGCCCAGCCAGCGCGGCTTGTGCCCATTGCCCCCAAAGTAGCTGACAAAAGTGAGGCAGAGGCAGGCAGCTATGTCATAGGCGCTGGCAATGAGCCCACTCTGGTAGCTCTGCAGGTCAAAGTGCCGCTCAATGGAAGTGATGACTGTGTTGATGAAGCCATTCACCACCATGCCCTGCAGGAAGGAGGCGGCACACAGGAAGAAGAGGAAGGCTTTGGGAGTGTTGAAGACCTGCAGACACTTGGGGGTAAAGGCTCTCCAGCCGCACAGTGAGCTCTGCAGCCCTGCCGACAGGTACTGCACCTCACGGGCTGTCTGGTTGCTCCGCTTCTCAGTCTGGGGCTCGAACAGTTGGCTGCAGGAGTCCACGGTGCCGTGGGCAGAGCGCAGGGAGGCTGGGGATGCCCTGCTGCTGACTGGCGTGTCACACTCATTCTCTGTGGCCAAGGAGGTGCTGGTGACGAGGAGTTTCGGGAGGGAAAGGAAATGCTTGTCCCCCATCACGTGCTGGGGCATCTCCAGCCTCGTGGGGAGGGCTTCAGCAGCACAGCAGGAGAGATGCAGTAGGTATGGCCAAGAGGATGTCGGGTCACTGGGGCTGTCCTGGGAGAAGGGGGTCTCATTAGCAAACCTTCACCTGTTTCTGAATACACTGAAATCCTCACACGAATACTCAGTTCCTGCACAGTCTATCACTGGAATCAAGCCTTCCCTGACCCAGGGTGCCTCTGGCTAGCCCCTCACTCAGGCATCTTTCTCCTGGCCACAGCCCTGCTTCAGGTGAGCCTAGCCTGGCCTGGTCACATGGCCTCAATTCTAGTAGTCTCCTTAGAACTGCAACGGTGTAGACCACAGGGGCAACGCAGAAGACGGAGGCCACTAAGAAAACACAGCTGAGACACAGAGGGGCGCCCATGGGTACCCTGGACTGCCCTGACCTGTACTGTATCTCACTGTGGCTTGCCTGCCTGAGCTGTCTTCTGCTGTATGAGCTTACAGAAGTGCCTGATGGTTAGGCATCAGCAATTCACAACTGACCACGTGGCTTGCCCCAGAGCCTGCACAGTACATTCACCACCATCTTCCAAAGGAGACAGTGACCCATCACCAACCCACAGGTCCCAGGCTGACTTCTGCAAGTTGGCACTGGCAGGCATCAGTGGTTGTATTCCGAGGTGGGGAACAGTAGAAATTCTATCACAAATACTCCTGGGGTGCTTGGTGCCACCAACCATGTCTTGTTCATTGTGCCAACACCTTTCTGCAAGCTGGTCAGAGGTCCCTGGCCTGGGAAGTGCAGTGTCAGAGGAGGGCACATGTGGTGGGTTTTCACACTGTGGGTATAACAACCAAACCTTCCTTAGGCAGGCAGTGTAGCCTTGCCCCACGTGCTGGCAACAGGGTAGCCTGCAGGAACATTGTGTGTGCGTGACATCAGGTGTCTCCCCCATTATTTTCCACCTTTAGAACATTTTTTAAAAATTACATTTATTTATTTATTTTGTGGGGGTGGATGTGCCACAGCTCATATGTTCTCTCTTCCACCATGTGGGTCCTGGGGATTGAACACAAGTTGCCAGACTTGGTGGTAAGTGCCTTTACCCAGTGAGCCATCTTGGCAGTCCCTATCTACCTTATTTATTTATTATTTATTTATCTACGCGCATGTGTGAGTGCCTGTTTGTCTGGATAAGTGCCACTTGTCTAGATGTGTGCCATGTCCACGCAGGAGCCCATGGAGGCCAGAAGAGGGCATCTGCTCCCCAGAACTGCCATATGAATGCTGGGAGTGGAAACCCAGGTCCTCTGCAAGAACAGCAGTCTTAACTGCTGAGCCCTTTTCTGGTCCTTCTATCTTAAAAAAAAAATTAATTACATTTATTTATTTGTATGTGTGCATACATTTATTTGTATCTGTGACATACATATGAAGGTCAGAGGGCAACTTGTGGAAGTCGAGTCTGTCGGGTTCAGTCCTGGAGACTGAACTTAGATCACCAGACTTGGTAACAAGTGCCTTTCTTTATCTGCTAAGTCATCTCACCATCCACCACAATATGCTTTACAACAGGATCTTTCACTCAACCTGGAACTCACACATTTGGCTGGGCTAGTTGATCAGCAAGCCCCAGAGATCCTCCCGTCTCTGCCTCCTTTGCTCTGAGACCATAGGTATATGCTATCACATCTGGCTTTTGATGCAAGTAGCAGGGATCCAATTCAGGCCCTCATGGTTGCACAGCAACCACTTTGCTGCCAGAGCCATCTCCCCAGTCCCCCATCAAATGTGCTTAATGCACTTGCTCTAACTGTAGTGGAACAGGGCAGAAGAGGGATACAGGGGAGCCAGGTAGGACTGGATAGAGGGGCAGGGGTGGCCATTATACAACCAGCCTCAAAACTTGGGACTGAAACAGAGAACAGACTACATGTACAGGGAGTGTCTGAAAAGACTCAAAATCACCAAACTCAAGGTCACCAGAGAACAGCCTGTGGTTTTGCCTTTAAATATTGGCTTGCCTCAGCCTACTGTGCTCCCTCTACACTATCTCTGGACAGTTGCTGGGACAACACAGGTGACAGTGGATCACATAGGTTGTACGGGAAGTCAACTGCAGTTCTTGTGACCAGCAATGGCCACAAGGAAACAGAAGGACTTCCTGTTTGAAAACAAAGCCATCACGGGGCATTCAAGGTACAGGTATCCCACAGCAATGTCACTGTGGTTTCACCTGAGTTAAGAGCTCTGACAAACAGTTGAAGCTCAAGCTAAAATTAGACTTATCACCTACGTTGAAATACAGTTTGAAATCTTATTGTAAATATTGGTCAAGTGACCTTCTGTTTACTACCTTTCCATTACAGAGTGGCAAAGGTGACCAGGCGTGTTGTCACACATGAGTAATCCCCACACAGGGAGGCTGAAGTAGGAGGCTCACAGGCTTGGGGGCAGCCTAGACTAGAAACTATGACTCAAAGAGGATGGTGCTATGGGGCTGGAGAGATGGCTCAGTGGTTAAGAGTCATTCCTGCTCTTTCAGATGCCCAGGTTCAGGTTCTAGCACCTGAGTCAGGCAGTTCATAATTACCTGTAACTCCACTTCTGGGTCCAAGCCCCTCCTCTAGCCCCCCTGGGTACCTGTGCATACAAGGCATATACTCACACAGACTGCACATGTGCATAAATGAAAATAAATTTTAAAAAAAGTTAGGCTGGAACTCAGTGTTTGCCTTGCAAGCATGAGCGTGAGTTCAATCCCCATGACTAAGGAGGCTGTGGGTGTACGACTGCAAACCCAGCACTGGGGAGGCAGAGCCGCTCCTTGGACAGTCAGCTTAGCATACATGAGAGACCCTGCCTCAAAGCAAGGGAGAAGCCAAGCATGGAAGGGCTCACCTTTAGTCCCAGCACTTGGGAGGCAGAAGTAGGTGGATCTCTATGAGATCTAGCTACAGGGAGACCCTCTCTCAACCAAAAAAACAAAACAAAACAGTAAAGTAGATGGGACCTGGGGATCAACAGCTGAGGTTGTCTTCTGGCTTCCATATGCAAGCACATTAACCACCCCCCACCCCAAAAAGAAAACAAAACAAAACAGAAAAGGATCTCATATCCACCTAAACACAACATCAACTGCTGTGTCCCCTGCCCCATTCTGGTGTCTGCTGGAGCCTGAGGTATGATCCAGTCACCAGCTTTCAAGTGTCTTCCTGAGATCTGCTGGGTTCTGGAATGGTTGGAGCAGACCACAGTATCAGCCTGGCTGGATCACAGATGTCCATGCATTTGTCAAATGTCACTGTGGGTGTGTCACTGAGGGGTTTTTGGACAGAGACCACTGAGTCTGGAGGCACCACTTCCTGGAAGGCCTGGCTGTGTGGAAGGTGGAGTTCAAGGGAGCCTGGGCCCCCAGATTACTGACTGTAGGCTCTTGCGACGTGTCCATCTTCATAACCGCATGAGCCAGTTCCTCATACTAAATCCCCTTATATCTCTCACTGGCTGTGCTTCTCTGAGAACCCTGACTTACATAAGGGCATTCCATTCCTTTGGCACTCCTGCTGTAGGTGGGGCCTCTGCTGGGCACTAGGCTTCAGGGACACGCCCCCCAAATACAGTCCCACTCACAAGGAGCTCACAGCCCCTACAACTGAGCAGTCCTTAAGAGCTCCCTGAGACTGGAAAGATGGCTCAGCATTAAGAACACTGGCTGCTCTTGCAGAGGACCCAGGTTTGATTCCCAGCACCCACATGGTAGCTAATAACCATCTGTAACTCCAGTTCCAGGGAATCCAATGCCCTCTTCTGACCTCCATGGGCAATGCATGACACAGGTGAACTTATATACATGCAGGCATAACACTCATACACATTAAAAAAAAAAAAAAAAAAGAACAGGGCTGGGGAGATGGCTCAGTGATTAAAAACACTTGCTGTTCTTCCAGGGAACCCAGGTTCAATTCCCAGCACCCACATGGCGACTAACAACCATCCTAACTCCAGTTCTAGGGGATCCAACATCTTCTTCTGGCCTCCATGGGCATTGTATGAGATGGGTGCACTTACACACATGTAGGCAAAACACTCATATACATAAAATAATAAATAAGCCAGATGTAGTGGTGTATGCCTTTAATCCCAGCACTTGGGAGGCAGAGGCAGGCAGATCTCTATCGGTATGAGGCTAGCCTGGTCTACATAGTGAGTTCCAGGCCAGCTGAGGCTACAGGGAGACTCCAACAAAAAAAGACCCCCCCCAAAAAACCAATAAATAAAATATTTTATATTAAAAAAAGTGTTCCCTGAAAGCTACGTGTGGCTGCGAGTCACCAGGGCACAGGCTGCAGAGAGCAGATGGAGACAGAAGACATGGCGATAGCACTCATCCTAGTCACTGGCTGGGGAAGAGCTTCTCACAGGGCATCTGATACCCTGGTAGCCATGACCACAGGCAGGCTGACCCAGCAATCTCTTGGATATACACACCTACTGAAATTCAACCTGTATGGGAGGCAAGTCCATCTCTCCACCCTGCTGGGCCCTGTACTCCTGACCGCTATCCTAAGACTCCAGACAGGTGATCTCTTCCCTGCAAACAACTGTGGTCAGGAGGGACTCCTGGAGTAGAACCTGCCTGTGAGCCATTCTCATCCACTTCTAGCAGCTGCATATTGGGGAGGATGAACATATGAGGTCAGGAGAAGCTGGCACCCGGCTTGGGGGAGCTTTCTTAGCCTGAGAAGATACAGGTGAGACTCCACTGTGCAGAAGGGGAGGAGCAGGGACACTGCACTTTCACAAAGTTCACTCTCTAGACAGCCAACCTTCTCCTGCTCTGTGCCTCAGCCCGCCAAACTGTCTCCACCCAGACGGCCCAGCTGCCTAGCCCTATGCAATAAGGCCAAGCTGATTAGCCCAGGGCGATGATGCCCTGGGACCATGCCTGGCAGCTGACAGCTCCACACCTAGACACTGTGAAGACTGTGTGCATGTGCACAGGCATGGGTCATGTGTGTGTGCTAGTTTAAGAGGAGACCACAGGTGACTAAGATTCCCTTACAAGTCCCCATACACTGTCTTCAGGGATACAAGTTCAGCATCTAGCTAATGTCTTTAAGTTCTAGAAGAATCTGGCCTCTTCCTCAAAGTCTCCTAGAGAGGTCAGTGGCCAGAGCTAGCCTGACACGGCCCAGTCTGTTGAGAGCAGGCCCTGGTTTGCATGGCAGCACACTCCTCCCAGCATGCTTATTTCTGGTTCATCCATTTACTAAACTCTCAGCTGGAGCTGTCCCCAAGGCCTTAGCTCACACAGCAAGTAGGAAGGAAAAGAATGACAGAGAAATACTCAACCTTGTGCCTGCCCCAAGTCCCTGCTGCCCGGGTCCCTGAAGGATGACTCAAAGTGGGAATGTTTAGCAGGCTCCATCATCATTTGGGGACACTCAGGTCCAGTTCCTAGAACCTCCTCAGACCTTGGCAGTCGGGGAACCACAGATTTCTTCCTCTTCCCTATCTCTAAGTTCCAGCCAGGACATGGAGGAAACAAAGCCAGTTCTCTCCTCACTGTACCCAGCTGCTCTAGGGCCGCCAACCAAGCCATCTGAGCACCAATGCTGACCCCTGCACCCCACCCCAGATGGCAGCCACCCCTGTGACCACACGGGGCTCTCTTCTCTGCATTCCAAATTCTCCCAGGTATCTCCTCTCACATGTGAGCAGACAGCTCTTTCACTTCTGTAGGATGAGGTTCAGGCATTGAGGACAGAATACTGAGCCAGCTACCAAAGCACCTGACATGGTCCAGTTTGCACACCTGGAGGCCACATGCCGGTAAGGGCATAGGAAGCCAACTATGGACTGACAGGGAGTTTGAGCAAGGGGAAAGAGGGCTGGCTCTGAAGGGCCTGTCTGCTGTCTCAACCTAGATAGGCCTGCTCCCATCCTGTCGGTACCTGGGGATCCAGTGTGTGGAGGGCTCTGCCAGGCACCATGCTCCAGTGGGGAGCCGGAGCCCTGCTGGAAGAAACAGAGGCCAGGTAGAGGCTGCCTCAAGCAGGCAGGTGCTCTCCACTTTGGCCCCTCTCTAATCTTCAGTTTCCCCCCTTACCACATGGCATGAGGTCAAGAATTCAGTCCTCTACACAAATAGGCCCAGCCGCTACTAAGGCTCATGGGAAATCCAGACCTGCAGTGTTGGGATCAGGAACCCCAATCTGAGGTGTAGCACCCCTGGACTCCAAGGAGGTTCCCACATCTCACTGGCTGTCCCCCAGCTCATCCAATGGTTGGAGACAAAGGTAACTTGCTTTGCCCTTTGCACTGGGCTCCTGTGGCTGTTGCTGTGATGTCAGAACTAGGGGTTCCCAGCAGTAGAGGTCCATGTGAAGCCCTCATAGTTGTCACAGCTCTCCTATGTTTTGGGGGGCAGAGGGAGGCCCCCGTGAAAACCCTCATAATTTTCACAGCCCTCTTAGGTTCTGGAGTGGGGGCAGCTCTGTCTAAACGAGGGACCTGCCTGGCATAGCCAGGCTATCAGTCTCCAGGTGGTCTCTTACACCCACAGAGTATCCTACTTCAGCTAATCCTAAATGTTCTCTGTGGTTTGGGTCTGAGGGGCAATGCCTGAGGCATGCCCCAAAGCTTGTCAAAATTAAAAGCTAGCTACTGGGAAAGCCAAATCCTGGGTAGGTGAAAAGTGTGCTTCAGCAGACCTGGGTGAGGAGGAGAGGACGTGCTAGAGGTCCCCTGGCCCCGAGTCAGGCATCTGGCACCTAAGGAAACCCAGTCAGGGCAACAAGCCCCAGCCTACACACAAGGTCCCATTTCTGAGCCACGTGGTTTCAAAAAGCCTGGCCTTCATCCAGAAATGTGGCCAAGGTTCTAATTCTGTGTGATGCTAACAAGAAGGCAGCTGATGGTGACTGCGCAAGAGAAACAAGGGGTGTTGTAGAAAACCAGACCCTGAATGTGGGAGCAGCAGGTTGTGGGGCCATGTAGGGACAGCCTAGGGGGAGGAGGTTCCCAGACCCACTGGCCTAGCTGCTGCCTCTACAGTGGCTCCCAAGAGAACACAACCTAGGTCCAGCATGCTGGCCCATTTCCCTGAGCAGCAAGGCTTCCAGGCTTCACGAGTCAGGCAGAACTCTGACCACCTGACATGTGGGGCAATGGGTTGAGGGCCTCCAGTTAACTCACAGTGGCTGAGAACTAGGTTTCTGTCCCACTGTCCCTCATAGTCACCAAGACCATATATCAAGATCAGACTTTTACCAGGGTCTGAAAATGAGGTGGGTGATAAGATTTCCAAGACTATCCTATGATCTTGTCCAGTGGTCACAGGGCTCAGGATGGAAGTTCTGTGGCCACAGGGCATTGAATTCATTAAGAGGAAGCAGGAAGATCACCCCCTCCTCTCCAAGAGCCCCAGGGTCAGTATCAGTCCCTCTGCTGCATCCTGTGATGGACCCACTTGGGAGAGTTTGGAGACTCAATTTGTTCCAGTTTAGGAGACCACAGTGCTGTGAAATCGTACAGTTCAGTAATGCCAAGATGAGAAATGGGTTGAGTCAAAAGACTTCTGTAACAGATGGAGGGCATTGTAGGTACAGTACCAGGTCCCTTAACTAAGTTTAATGTTAGTGAGGTGAGAAAACCTGGATATCTAGAAGTGTCTTTTTCATACCACGGCAGGACAGAGCAGTTACTTGCCATCAATTGCTCTGGTCCATTCACATGGCCCACATCTTGCCTGCCCTGCCACTCAGTCCAGTCACAAGCCTTTGCCCTACCTGTCCTGCCCTCTGCAGTGGTGGAGAGGGATCTGGTTGGGACTTGCTCAGCACCTGCTTCAGGGGCCACACCCGATGAACCACAATTAGGTCAGGGCCACCTGGGAGAGAAGCAACCCAGGAAGAATTTTCTAGGCGGTATCTGTGGGTCTTTCCCTGTGGGAAAGCTGGATAGATCTTACTGAAGGGCAGTCAAGGCAAACTGGACCTTGGGCAGTTCCAGGACCCAACCAAGAGACCTCTGTCCTTGCCCCACTTTGCGGCACATGAAGAGGTATCTGTCTTTCTGTGGTCACCGAGGAGGTCCTGTCCCCTTAACTGCTGAGTCTCTGGCCTCCTCCCTGAGAGGCTGCACAGTCAAGTCCTAAATGGGGGGCAGACAAAGAGGATGCAAACACCACCTCTAGCTGTATCATTCTGGGCAAACCACACACTCCTGGTGCCTCCACCTGCTCCTCTGTGCAACCGGAGTTCGAAAAGCTTCCTGGAGCTGCTCTTGCCTGAAGCCCTCTCTAGCCAGCAAAGGATAGGGCTCAGCAAATCCCTCCTGCTGTCCGTCAGCCACGATTCATAAATGAGCCGGTCCAGCTGCTCCACGCTGCCTCCAGCACTGGACTTCCCCACAGCAGTTTCTGACTACACAGTTACCTTATAAGGTTTACTAAGCTGAAAAAAATCACTTACCCTGAGCAGGTTCCATCACTGGAAAACTACCGCGGTTCCAACGCCGCCGGACGGAAACACCCCACTGCTAGTTCTGGGGAGACCAGCAAGCCCCGCCACGCTAAGCTTGGAACACCACGCCTGAAGGTCCAGCCAACGGCAGGACAGGCTGTTCCTCCCCACAAAGCCTCTGCAGACCCATGCTGACGCGGGGATGCTGACCTCTCCGTGAAGAAGGAAGCACCTCCGTTCCCGGGAGACAAGCGCGCCAACTAGACACCGAAGGCCGCCCCGCACCCTCGTGGTCGTCCGCCTGAGGCTGGGGGTGCCCGTTAGCGGTGCCGAGGTACCTGGCAGCAGGGACCCGGACGTCCAAGCTCCCCGGGGAACGAGGCCTGCCGCCCGGGAGAAACTTCTGTGCCTCACGTTTTCCTCTCTGACTTAGGACAGCCACCGCAGGTGCTTCTGACTCGTGCCAAGCCCTCGGGGTCTGCGCCCGCGTGTGCCCGAAGCCACCCGCCGGGGCCCGCAGCCCAGCGGCTCCCCGCATCCAGTCCTCGCCCCATCTCCCCCATCGTCCTTCCCGCCCCCGCGCAGCGGACTCCGCCCCCGCCCTTCTCCGGACCCGCAGCTTCCCGCCCACGCAGCCGCCGGGAGACCAGGGCGAGCCCGTCCCGCCCGCGCGCAGGGGCCAGGGGCGTCCCAGCCGGAACCGCCCAGGTGCCGCCGCGCTCCCCGCCCGGCCTCCGCAGACCGCGGCGGCGCTCATGACGTCAGCAGGTCCGGGCCCGGCACACCTGGGCCAAGCCCCGCGGCAGCGCGCGTCCCCCTCCAGATCCCGGCGCGCTCACCTTCCCGGAGCCGGACCGCCGCGCTTCGCTGCGTTCTGCGTTCTGTGCTCAGGCCTCCGGGGCACCGGGCCCACTAGCGCTTCATTCATTGCCGGAGCCGCGCCCCGGGGGGCAGCGGCCTCTCCACCGCGGCCAATGGCAGCGTCGTCCGGGCGGGGCCGAGTCGGAGCTGACGGCGGCGGGCGCGTGGGGACTGGGCCTGGGCGCGGAGGGGGCGGGGCCAGCCTGGGCGCAGAGGGGCGGGGCTGGGACGTCGAGGGGCGGGCCATGGGCGCGGGGCGGGGCTGAGGGGCAGAGGCTGGACTTGGGTCTCCACGCTGTGGGCGTTTGTCCCCGCGGAGATTCCGGGCGGCTGGTGAGCGCGGCGTGGGCTGCAGACTAGGAAACGCGGCTCCAGGCGGCGGAGAAGCAGTCCAGGCCTCGCGGCCATAGGTTCCACCTGCCTCGGGTTCGCGCTCGCGCGTGGGACTGAGGCAGAGGAGCGCTCGGCTGTAGATCAGCGCAGGCGCGGGTCGGGTCCGAGGTCGGGCCAGGGCCCCCCGCCGGCTCCAGGTCAACCGCGCCGCACCCTCGCTTTGGGGAGGCCGCAGGATTGCTAACCTGCCGCCTCCTCCCGTCTTTGACGTTAGCATTGACGTGGGACAGAAGGGATCCCAGGCGCCTTCCCACCAACACATTCTCTTCTGCGCAACCGTGAACACATTCTTGACTCCCTGGGTCACGGTTTCCTCGTCCCTAAAATGAAGGCGCCCTGCAATTCTGCCATGGCTCATGCCTGTAAGCACTCGGGAGGCTGAGGCAGGATCCGCTGCTCAACCTGGACTCGATAGTGAGTTCTAGGCCAGCCAGCCCGGGCTACAAAGAGACCCTGTCACAGAAAACCAAGCGAGCAAACAGCAAAGATGGTCACAGCACGTCTTTGAAGGTGGTGGCAAACTGGTGGAGTGAATGAGGCTGAGTCTGGCCAAACTTAGTTTCTGATGCCTGAAACTCCCTACAAATTTCCCCTTTGGGTTTACTACATTTATTTTTAAAGACCTTTGTGAGCCAGTTGTAGTGGTGCACGTTTGTAATCGCAGCCCTGGGAGGCTGATGCAGGATTTATAGTGCAAGGTCAGCCTGGGCTATACAATATGACCCTGTCTCAGAAAAACTAAAAACAACCTTCCCTTGCCCCCAACGTCGTTACAGGCGTTTAATAGTTCCAGCACTGGGGAAGTGAAGGCAGGAGGAACCAGAGCTCTTGGCCAGCCTGGGCTACACAGCATGACCCTGTGTAAATAAAGAGTAAAAAGAGTTTACAAAGGTCAGTTCTTGTGAGTATGTAAATCCCGAGCTTGGCTCTGTGGGGGAAAGGACCAGGCACAAGTGTGCACTGATAACAAGTGTGCACTGATAAACCCCAGCTACCGTGGAGTCACAAGGCCTGAAGCAGCCCTCTTTCTGTGTGTGTGTGGAGAAGCGAGGGGTACATCTGCATGCACTCATTGATGAATGTGTCTTCCTTCCTCCAGTGGGTGTGTTTGGTACTCATTTACATCTTGTCTGGCATGTCTTAAGGGCCTGCTTATGGGCATGTGAGCCTCTCTTCCAGGAAGCTGAGTTTGAGTCTGGTTGACCAGGAGTTGGCCTCCATTTCTGACACTCCTCCTGGTCAGAGAAGACCCTGGGAAGACCTTGCTGGAGCAAACAGGATCTTCCTGAAAACATCTCTCCTAGGTGCATAGACCTGACTCAGGTCTGGAGCCAGAAAGAATTGGCTGAAGATGCTTTCAGGAGATTGTGAGCTCCCTCTGCAGGAGGTGTGAGCAGAGCTTGTTGGTTCCTGAAGGGAATTCATGGAAACACTTCAAATGTCAGAAGCAGTGTTGGACACTGTGCTTCCAAAACTTAATTTTGGATACATCCCTGAAACCATTATTAGTATAATATTTTCCCCTTAAACAGCTGGTGTATTTTATTAAAAAGATAAGTTTGTTTCAAAGAAAGTAATCAGTGTCGATGACCATAGAGAGGTCACCACAAAAATAAACAGGAAGGAAGGTAGTATTAGGTTCTAGCCAAACACTGCTGCCCGCTGTGGACCTGAGCTTTAGACTGGCCTCAGGCCCAATCAGGAGTTCTCAGGCTTCCTTCGAAGATACCATCTACAGATGAGCCCAAGGCAAACATTCAAGGAACTAACACAAAGTGCTTTCCTGTCCTGCCCTCAGAGGCCAAGCCAGGTACCCAGGCCCTTGGGGGCCCCTGAGGTACCTATGCTTCTGGAGACCCTGGGTCCTTAGGCTCTACCCTGCTCCTCAGGGTGCCAGGTGTCGTCTGTGGTTAAAGACTGGGAAGCCTGGAGAGATTGAGCTGACTGAGATCTCTAACCAGAGCGTCCAGCAGTCTGGATGAGTCTCAGGGAAACCTAATAGAAGGGAGGATTATTTGTGCATTAAGGTGGGGAAATGTGGGGAATTCCAGAGATGGGTTGAGATTTCCTCTCTTTTGTTCTTATATAGGGTCTTGAGTGGTAGTGGGCATTTTTGCCAGGCTAGTGAAACTCAATGTCTTTATAGAGAGGCAAGGGACAGTGAGTAGTCACTCAGTTTGTCTCTCAGTGAGCCGTGTTGGGTCCAGTGGTTTTGGTGGTCTTGTGCCTTTACCATTTGAGCTGGCAAGTGAGAGCCTTGATGACCTGCTTTGATAGAACCTGCCACTATGGCAGTCTGGAGCCACCTGTGCCTATCTGGCCTTTCTCAAAGGGAACAAAGATCTGGCACTGTGGAGTCCCTTCAAGTGGCTGCTAATCCTTCATCTTTCCATACAGGAATTAGGAGGCCCGGGGCGGAATCCCCAAAGAGGTCAACCACAGGGCACCACACAGTCTTGGAACAAGGACAGGCTGATTATGAGCCTTGGAACATTCTGCTCTCAGTAAGTTCTATCCCAGCAGGGTTTTTGGAGAGGAAATAATTAAAAGGAAAACAGCCCAAGTCCTGCTGAGCCACTGTGATCCCAAAGGGGGGGGCATCACTGTGTGCTAGGGGTCTCTGGGGGCCTCCAAACATGCTTTGTACCTCCATGGCTAATCACTGTCCCCTGACATGGCATTGGGAGGGACCCCAGAGGGCTAGAATGTGAATACACGTTACACTTGTCCTCTCCCACGGCATTGCTGCCTTGTGAACATTGCCAAAGCCAGGACAGTTCATCTCCAAACCAGAAAGAGAAGAGAAAGGAAGGGGGGGCAGGGTTCAGGGAGAGCTTTTCTCCAGGGCGTGGGCAGGGTGGCGGCCAACCCTAAAGATCTTGGGTTCCTGGTGCCCGGGTTTCAAAGCTAGTCTGCAAAGATCATCCGTCCCTGGCACTTTGGTGGTTGAATGGTTCATCTGCTTTGGTGGATTTTGCATGTGTATTAGCTGAATCATTTGAACATACCCCTGTTCTTCCTTTTCTGATTAACAAAAAGGCCATGACAACCTAGTGACAGTTGACTCAAGTCTCAGAAATGATGAAAACACACCAGCATCAAATTCTTAGGCCATGGCCATGCCCCAGAGGCTCTAAATAAAGTTACTTTAATATTTTAAAGTTAGGACTTCAGAGCAGGGTATGGTGACACATGCCTGTAATCCCAGCATGTGGGAGACTGAGGCAGAAGGATTGCCATGAGATCCTGTCTCAAGGAAGCAAAGCAAATAAAGTTAGGACCTACCCCTGGGCAGGTGGTCCTGGGTTCTATAAGACAGGAAGTTGAGCCAGGCATGGTGGTACAAGCCTTTGACCCCAGCACTTGGGAGGCTGAGGCAAGCGGATCTCTGTGAGTTCAAGGCCAGCCTGGTCTACATAGTGAGTTCCAGGCCAGCTGGGGCTATAGGGAGAGACTGTCTCAAAAAGATAAAAAAAAAAAAGACACCCCCCCCAAAACAAGTTGTCCACAGGCCAGGGGAGCAGTCCTGTAAGCAGCATCCTCCATGGCCTGTGCTCCAGGTTCCTTCCCTGAGCTCCTGCCTTGGCTTCCCTTGATGAAGGACTGTGCTGTAAACCAAGTAAATCCTTTCTTTCCCAAGTTGGTTTTGGTCAATGTTTTGGGGAAGAAAAGATTCTATCAGGGCTGTTTGTGTGATATACTATGAATTAAGAATTTTTTTGGGAGGGGGGGCGCTGGAGAGATGGTGCAGTGGTTAAGAGCTGACTGCTCTTGCAGAGGACCCAGGTTTGATTCCCAGGACCCACATGGTGGCTATGAACCATCCTTAACTCCAGTTCCAGGGGAATCCGATGCCCTCTTCTGACCTCCACAGCATTGCACGACATGAGACAGGGTCTCCCTGTAGCCCCAGCTGTCCTGGAACTCACTATGTAGACCAGGCTGGCCTTGAACTCACAGAGATCCACCTGTCTCTGCCTCCCGAGTGCTGGGATTAAAGGCGTGCACCACCATGCCCGGCTAAAGTATTTTTTTAAAAAAGAATTTTTGGAAGTAAAACCTTTCATGCTTTACTGGAATAACATTCTGGTCAACTGGGGCTGAAAAATAAGCTGTGGGTAACAAGAGACCAGCATTATTGAGGTGAAATCTTCTGGGAAGTATTTCCTCAGGGTCAGGGCACAGAAGCTATGGTCCAGAGAGGGCCCGGTGCTCCATCTCAAGCTGGAAGCAGGACTTGGTAATGTGTAAGAGTCTCCTACATGGTACT